AACTGTGATCCGTCGCTCCATAGACTGCATCTCTCCTGTTCTAGAGTCCAGTGGCGGCGTGCTTTACACCGCTGTGTCCCATTGCTTTGCGTTGCACTCTGTGATGTAAGGCTTGGACTACAGCTGCTCGGCCATGGAAATGGATTCCACGAAGCTCTCTGTGCACTGTTCTTTAGCTAATCTGGAGACCACGTGAAGTTTGGAGCGATGGACTCCACAGAAAATTAGCAACCTCTGTGCGCCTCAGTATCCACTGACCCCCACTCTGGGATTTTACGTGATCCACCACTTGATGGCTGAGTTGCTGTCGTTCCCAAACACTTCCACTTAGTAGCAGCAGTCTGCATGCCTAGGTGCTTGATTCTATACAGCTGTGGAAGTTACTGGATCACCTGAATTCAATGATTTGGATGATGGGTGGTGAGTGAATACTCCTTACAATATAGTGAAGTGGATCTAGTGTATATATCCACCAGAAACCCTGAAGGTCGAGTGACGAGTTCCCGTATTGCACAGTTCGTCCAAACCACCAGAGATTCCTCACATTAGTGTGGAGTTTGGTAATAAGAGGCAAAGCATGTAGAAAACATTGATTTCTTTACTGCCTGTCTGATGTCAGCTTCAATTAGGCGTAGTATTTTTGTTTTTGCCTTACACTTGTGATCCAAACTGTTTTTACTTCCTCTTTAGTTAAAGCGGAGCCAGCTGTCTGCGATCTATTGTCTACAAATCTTTAACAGTGACATTAAATCGTTCTTCAGGGTCCTCATTTACCGCAGAAATGATGTAATGTGATTTAAATGAGACCCATAGAAAAGAAAATGACCTGTTGATCGGTCTCTATTATGAGCCTTCACCCATAAAAATGTGTTTACAGTTTATAACACTAGATGGTGATATGAGACCGTTTCCATTGTATTACCCGAGCATGATTTACTCATCGACTTTAAACTTTCACATTTTAGTCATTAGTCCTCCTTAAGAGGAGCCAATCCACCCCCCCTTTTTTTTTCTGTCCAGTATAGAAACTAAACAGCTGACATCGTTCGGGTAGTGTAGCTTCCAGAGATCTGAAGTTAACGTGAACTCTGGAGGGCAGTCAAAAGCTTAATTTTTTATAATGCAACATACTATTATTTACATACATATTATTTTAATAAGCAGTTTCAGGGTTCGTGCTGTTTTAATGAGTGTTCGATGGAAAACGTCACTGAAGGAATTTGTACTCTTGAGTCACATGACAGTAAATAATTTCGAGTATGTGTACATAACACAGGCTAATGTTTAAAACTATGATTATTATTTTGCTAGCTATCAAACTTGCTGGAGAAATGATTGAAATGCACTGAGTGTGATAGAGTACGGCAGTGCTAGCACAGCAGTTAGTTATGGCATGGTGATTTATGCAGTGTGCTTTAAACTTGGCTAACATTACTTAGCAGTAGCAGTAATATTAGTGACTTCACTCAAGTGAAAGCTTTAATCGTTAGTCCGACACTTAACTAGTGTTTCATTTTTGGTGGTGTGGGTGCTTAACTAGTTAAAGTACCAAACATCTGTCTCCTGTTGTTGTGTCCCGTAGGAAAGAAGCATCAATATCTGATGAGCAGACTTGTTCATTTGTGCAGATTTCTTCTTTTGTGTGGTTGTTTTTTCCAAGTGGAGATGAGCATCTCTAACAAGTTGATTTGTTCACATTTGCACATCTGCATTTTTGAGAGAAATGAGTTTTTTGAGTTTGTGCACTATATGCATATAAGACAACCATTTCCTTTTTCAGTATTTTGTGTGGTGCATTTTTCTCTGTTTTAACAAAAGAGGAACAAAGAACATTTAAGTCAACCTAAGACGATTTGTTTTAATTTTTACATGGTCTTACTGAGGTGATGCAAAGTGGAACATGCAATCTGTTTTTGGTAATGTGCTGGAAAAGCTTGATAATGGACCTTGAAAGTGCTTAAAGTGCTTAAATTTGATCCTGAACAATGAGTTTGAACCCTGCAGTTTACAGTTTCATTTTTCATTATCTCAGCTTTGCCTGTCTTTTATAAATCGTAGTAGACTGAGTGTGTCTGTGTTGACTGAAACCATCACTGTTTCTAATTCTCAACCCTTTCAGGCCCTTCAGCCTCTCAGACTGCTGACATGTTAGGAGACAAACCTCCAGCTGCATCCTCACCAAATGTCATCAAAGGTTCTACTGATGGAGATGAAACTGTAGAAGATCCTGACCTCGAGCCTTCCAACAACACCTCCACGCAACAAACCAGCCCGCTTCCCCCCAAAGACTCTGAGCCCGCTGAGGCTGAGACCAGCCTCAGCCCTGAGCAACAGCTCAGCAACGACTGTGTAGAGGGGGATTAAGGTTCACGTGCAGCAGTTTCTGCTGAAAAGCTTTGGCAGTGAGCAGATTTAAAGGTTTCCCAATGTTCGTGCCTGCTCATTCGAGTAATGTTGTGCATTTCTGGTGGTTTATATCTTGAGCACATGTTCCTACTGTGACGTCAGCTTTGGGTTAGCAAAGACATTTATAATCAATGGAAATAAATGTTTTTCTTATTTTTAAAAGTCCAAATCCTAAACGTATTTACCATGTGTTGGTATCTGTTACAGAAAAATATTTGAACTGATCCACAGTTCCTGCTCTGATGCATCTTCTTTCTCCAGTTTCACTATTGGCAGAATTTTGGTTGCAAACATGTTTCTATAAAGGCCTCTGTGTGTGTGTAGTATGTGAGCTGTCAACTGACCATCACCCTCTTCCAAGCATTAAGTGCTCGTTCAATTATGAACAGTTCTTTCTTAAGCTACTGCAGGGACATGAAACGCAACACGATGAAGTGGCTCCATCTGCGCTAATGAAAACACCATTTTTAATTACAGGCCACTGCACACATATTGAAATAGTTATGTACAGTTCATATTTCTGTTGGTAGTTCTAGAAAACGATCTTAAAATCCACAAACCAAAAAACGGTTCTGATTATTTACCAGTTCAAACAATAAAAATGTCCTTGGTGTTGGTGTCTTCTATACAGGCTCTTGATATACAAACTATAAGATAAATACATCCTGTTTTATACATCACTTCCAACACAACCAACCTCAGGTGTGTTCATTACTCTACGGGTTTATTTTAAAGTCTGCTAATGAGTGACATGAAGTTTTATCAGTCCGGTGACCTGTCCAGGGCGTATCCTGCCTCTCACCCTATGACAGCTGGACAGATTCCAGACGTGCAGAAGAAAATGGACGAGTGGACGTTTTATCATCTCCAGAACAATACTCGTGCTGGGTTTTGTATGAAGTGGTCACAGGTAGTACAATATGTGTGAACTCACCAAAAATGGTTCTATAACATAAGACATTTAATTTACACAAGACATTGATCCCACCAGTGAGATATTGAGATCACTGGTGCTGAGAGAAAAGCCTTTTGTTACCAGACTTCTTTAACCTGCTGCAGTTGACTAGTTTCCTGCAGGATTGAACCACATTTGCAGTGAGTACTAGGTCTTGTCAAAGTAACTGCTGACACTTCACTGGCATTAACACGTTCCCTATCCTCCTTACAACTAAGTTTAACTTGATGTGATTTTAAAAACTAACTTTTACAAAACTGATTCGGTTTGACTGGTTTCTAAAAAGATGGCGGGACATGTTTTTACTTAACCCTCTGTAGTACCTACGGCCATTTATCATCCACAGCGTTTTTTAATATTAGGCCATTTTCACTGTGTTGAATAGAATATAGCCAAACCTTCCAACCCTTTTTTTTTTTCATTTTCTTTAGAATTGCCGTCTCCGTTTATTCGATTAGCTAAGGTGGCTAAGCTAAAAACCGCCATCCACATGAGGTCCTAGAGCCATAAATCGCCCATTGAAACCCTTTATAAACGCTATTTTCACTGCACAATTATTACCGTTAATATCTGTGTGATGGCTTAGGTTTCGTTTTCATTCTGGACTCAAGGCCTTAGAATTGTAATTTTTTTATTGGCCACCGGGTGGCTCCCTTGCTTCACATTTGACGCTTGCTCGAAATCAGCGAGCCGCCGTAAAACACTACCCGGAAATCAGGATTCGATCGCGGCTTGGAAAACAGGATTCCCCGCCGATCGTCTGGAGCGATGTCTCAGTCCCAGGGTCACTCAAGCGGGAATTTTTTTTTGACTCAACCGGAAATGACGTATTTGTTGTCACGTGGTATCGACGTGTGTGCTGGTGAAAGGCGTCCGACGAAACATGACCGGAGCAATTGTCTGCACGTTACCCGGAGGAGGCATGGATCCCGGGTTAGACAACGACGAGGGACCGCCTGGAGACATAATTCGCTTCGGAAAAGAAAATTGTAAGTTGATCGAAATTAATTTTGGTGCTGATCTTTAGTCCATCTAAAGCCTAATTATAATAACAATTGAATATTACCTCAAATGTTTTTTTTGGAAAATATTCAAGTTTATGTTTTTTGGGGCAAAAAGCAGTGCGCTCATGTGACGAAACCGGGATATAAAGGGTTAAAATCCGCGAAATGTAATTAAAACTTGACATGAATATTTCAAGGAGAAGTAGGTCTAAAAGATTGGCTAATTTAAAGTGGAATAAAATTTTAATATATAAATTTTTATAGCACTTTTTGGGCGTGGTCGATTGGGACCGATAGTGTGTGCATTTTATGAAATGCGCTCCTGCAAAAAAAATAAAAGGCGATCGAAATGACTGTTGGTATCAATCTTTGGTCCACCCAAAGGCCTAATTAAAAGTACAATAAAATATAACTTTCAAATGTATTTATGGAAAATATTTCATTTTTCATTTTTTTCGCCAAAAACGGCGTGCGCTCATGTGACAAAACCGGATATAAAGGGTTAAATCCGCGAAATGTAATTAAAACTTGACATGAATATTTCAAGGAGAAGTAGTCTGAAAGATTGGCTAATTTAAAGTGGAATAAAATATTAATGTATAATCTTTTATAGCACTTTTTATGGCGTGGTCGATTTTTGGCTCTAGGACTCATAAGGGGTACGTTTTTAGGTGCTACCAAGGGCTAATATTGTGTTTGCTTTCCTGTGACTTCACACACTCGTGTGGTTTGTCCACACACAATCTGGAGCTACAAGAATGACCTGGATGACTCAGCACGAGTGATCTTCAATGATCACCGTTCTGTTAGCGCACAGCGTGCAGTTCTCACAAGTGTCTGCTTGGAGGTAAAGCTGGGCTACAGCGTTTCTATGCTGTTGTTGCCGGGAGGCGTGAAGCCCTTTCCAGATCCATCAGAGCCAACTCTCTGATTTCTTCCAGAATAGAGTACAGACTGGGAGTTTTGCTCTGACGAAACTCTCTTTCCTCTTTGGAGAGTTTGGGGCGCCGGGCTGTCTTCTCCTGAGCCAGCGCCTCTTCATTCTGACGCACCACCTCTTTGACCAGCTGACTGCGGCCCTGAGGGCTGGCTGCTGGGACTTTGCACTGTGGTGAGGCTTGTTGCTGATGACCTCGAGGTTTAGACGGTCAGCATGGCAAGTTGAAGAGTGGACAGAAATACGAACCTGAAGAGAGCAGAGAACGTAAGTCACAGTATTCCTCAGTTCGATCACTACACAGTAATGGCACCTACTGAAAATAGTCTAATGGAATGCTATGCAAAGACAGGCCCACTTAAGGTTTGTGACGTAATATATAACAGCAGTCCTCTCAGCACTGTGCGCAGCGTCACAGCTAAGTAGACAGTGGTGTAGAGTGGAGAAGTTTCCGACTGTGCCACAATTTTGTTCATAAATAGGATAAATGGATACGTATGTTACACACACGTATCCAATGTAACAAACGTTCATCCATCCGTACACGAACTTTCTTTACTGTGCTTTCTAACATTCACACGACGTGGAGACTGGAGCAGAGGGGGAGAAAAACATTCATTAACACTGTGACCTCGGTCAAGTGTCACAGTGAGGTGTTGTTTTGTTGATTTGTTTGTTGAATATCATCATCATCTCTTTGTTTGATATGATCATAGCTTGACAGCAGTCAATGCTGTGGTGGACAACTTGTGTTTGGGCTAATGTTTCTTTCTATCTTGTTTTGGCCACATGTGTCATCCATCATCATCCATCAGTAAGCTATGTTGTTAGCATTGCCTTTGCCCTTTGACATTTATGACCCCAGGATAAGTCCATGAAAGAAGAAAAGATGTTGATAACAGTGGAAGCAGCAGTACTCTGTCACTTTTTCATGTCTTAAAGCCAAAGATGTGAGAATAACACACCGTTACTTCAGTTCTTTTTGTTAGCTAACCTTAGGGTAATGTTTCCTGCTCTTTTTGCTTAAATCACATGCACTTATTCCTCACAATCATCGTGTGTAACATGCCTGAACTTAATATAACTTGACGCCAGTGATGGGCAGCAACGCATAATTAGATTACTTTTTTCAAGTAACGAGTAAAGTAAGGATTACTGTTGCAAAAAAGGTAATTAGATTACTGTTACTGTCCCATAAACACGCTGCTCTACTGTGTTACTAAACCGTGAGTTTGTTTGCAAGAGTGTCTCATGACAATGACATAAGTGCATGCGACGTTTGTGGTAACAAACGTGTGCAGAGCAACAATGGATCATTTATCGAGTGCGAGAGAGAGAGTGCGACCGTGCAGCGTTTAAAGGCGTTTATGTGAAAACAATTACCGCCCACTGTCATTTTTATCTCCCTTTACAAAAGGTTTGTGTAGAAACGCCACAAACTGGAAGCATTACATTTCTTGTCTTGGAGGAGAGCCCCCCCCCCCCCCCCCCCCACACTTATGTTTTTGTTTTCATATAATATTTAAAAACAATAAACTGAATAACTTTAAATGATTATTTCAGGAATCATTTTCGTCTCATTCATCTTACTGACGTTTTGTTACCTTGAGATTAGCTAACAAAGCAGCAACCACACAACACTTTATCACAACAAGATCATAAAACGTCTCTTAATGTTGGACCACAAAAGATCCAGTAGTCGTATGAACCTGTGATTCATATACACTCATGCATATATATTTGGAATCGTCGCCTTTAGGCGCTGCATTGCTGGAACCTTCTAAAATGATTGATTAGCGTTTTCTGTGACTTACGGTGATGTGGTCAAACAGTTTGAAGGTGGAGGTGCCACAGCTGGAGGTGGTGGTAATGCGGTCCGGGTATTTTCGCACAGTGCCACCCTGCCAATCACAGCTGCCGTCCTGTCCCGCTACCACCACCAGGCCTCTTTGTTCTTCAGATACACAGGCCCCCTCACACCATACCTGTGACAACATGGCTGTGGTCAGAGGCAGCCTTACTTACTCAGTGATATTACTCAACCTGCTTTGCGCCCTGTGATTTAATCATTACGTGGATTCTACAGCCTTCTCAAAATGACCACAGGTTACATTTTAATAAACTGTTAATATTGCATATCCCTGTAACACCACAAGCATGGAGAACACTGATGTTATAAATTACACTTTCCTTGCAATAAACAAGCAGCAACCTCCAGAGGTTAGCTAAGCTAACGTAGAAGTGCCACAAACACAAGGCTGGCTCCAAAGCACCGTCCCTCCCCACAGACTCAACTTCAGCAATGCAATTAACTTATTTAAAGCCTGCTAGAGAAAAGATTCGGGGTTTTAGCCGATTTTCCCTGCTCACAATAAATGTTTAAGGAATTAGTTTAGTAAATTTATACAATTTAAAACTCATTTTGAGGTTTTTTAAGAGAAAATAAAACTAGCGTGTATACTGTTAAATACATTGATTAGCGTGCAATTACATCTTCCAACAAATTCATTCATTGTCATAAACTTTGAATTCGTCTATTAAAAATACACGAGTGGTTGCCGTCTGTAGCTGCTGTACAGCTCCATTAACAAAGGAAAAGAAGAAGACTGCAGAACAAAACACAGGACTGAAGGTCTTACTCTGGATAAACACCAAGACACCGTTGTCTCGAATGGAGTAGACAACAGCGTCAGCCACACAGCACGGGTCTGTCTGAGGGTCTCGTTCTCTGAAAAACAGACACTGAAACAGTGCTGTGGATCGCATTTGGCTGCCTGTGCTGCCTGCAAATGAAACACAGACGTCAGCACAGCTTCTGTTAATAGAGTAAGAGGTGAATCATTGAAAACACAAACAATAAAACACCCCTGACCCTGTTCTTGCTGTTGACATGGTGAGCCATTTCCTCCACTTCTTTGTTACTGGCTGGTGCTTACCAATACAACGCCCTCTGCATGTGCAGGGCTGCGGTAAGAAGGCGGTGCACGACAATGTCTGCGTACCGACGGATGGTGAGGTAAAGTGTGTGTAGCGATCCAAGCCAGACCTACGACAACGAAGCAATATCAGCACGTTAGCCTTCTTTCTAGTTCTCAGTCGAATAATTCTTCACAAACAACAGACGTTGGACAAGTGTGTGCAACGTGTGATGGATGGACTGACCCACAGTCACACTGAAACTCTAGTGCAGCCAATAAAAGCTGTGCACGGTATCGTACCATAATGGTAGTATTGGTCTTGAGGATGAGCACCAGTGGAGAAGTACAGAGCCTGTGACATAGCAGTGTGGCCATCATTCTGAACAACCTGTTCACCAAGGGTCCTGTGGTCCACAGCTCGGTCCAGTGAGCAGCTAAAGCCTTGTTGGACCTGAAGAACAGAGCCAGAAACCAGGGATGATGAGGCCTCTCATCTCAGCAGTCAGTGACACAAAGCTACTTGCATCACCATGTCTCTTGTCCTGGGACCGTTCTGCTGTTGGTTTAACCCCCCCCCCCCCCCCACAATCCTCCAACCGCACATTCATATTTTGTTTTCAAACTCCATTGCAGTTCATTCCACGCCTCAGATCCTCAACTTTTGTAAACAGTTAAACAAATAAAGTAACTGTAATAGATTACAGGTTGTAATTAAATAAATCACTGCCTCTTTAAAAACAGAAAACAAACCATCTTAATTATTTGAGTTGTTTGTTTTGTTCCCGTGTGAGAATATTCAACACTGCTCTCTGTGCAAACGGGTTTAAAAGCATAAACAGCTGTGGGATCCTGTTTGTCCGGGATTGAACCGGGAACAAACTGCGGCAGGATCAGCGTTGTGCCGAGGTCGGCATCGCCGACAGCATGTGTTCCCCTGCGTGGCGAGCGTTCGCTGGGCACGGATGTGGATCCAGGTTACGCCGCCTCCATTACAAACAGTCAGACGTGAAGTAGTGATGTTTTAGTTTTGTAAAAAAGTGAAACCTGAGTGTCGTTACATTACCATTCAGTTTAAGGTTACAACAGAAAATGAAATATTTATGTCCTCTCGTGGTATCAGACGGATTATTTTAACAAACGAAGGACATTTGCCTGATAATTATATTTATCCTGTAACTTTACTGTGTAAAGAGCTAAAACCTCCAAGTTCAGGAGTAGTTAGTCGTTATAAGAAGTGTTTGTGAACTGAAATCAAGAATGTGGGATCCTGTTTGTCCGTGATTTGGACAGCCCAGCGTGTGCTCCCGACGCAGGGGAACTAATTCTGTCGGGGAGACCGACCTTGCCACGACAGCTGTTGTGAAGCTGAAGCCAAAGGCAAGATATGCTTCATCATATGTTCTAGTCTTTGGTTTGGAAGCATATTTGGCTTCAACCTCAACCTGAGCTGAAGGAACATGTCTTCTTCTTGTCTGACTGCTCATGTGACACCTGAGTGTGTCCCGTGTTATCAACATTTCAGGTTCACACACTTGTGTGTCTGAACATGATGTGCGTTGGACTACAATATGCATTTCCTCAGTTTCTATACTGAACAGTCAAAAACATTACCTGGTGTCAATGGTGAAACCTTTGGCCTTTGCAGTGTCCACCAGCTGGTTGAATAGCTCTGTTGTGGTGGTGGTGACACCTTAGAGGCCTGGTTGGGGAAAGCTTCCTGGATCTGCGGGCCACCCAGTGGTTGGCGTAAATCATGCACTCTGCCACGGTCTCATGGACCTCCAGGGGCTGACGAGGGACCAGGGCCGTAATGTTCCTCTCCTCATCCAGCTGGGCACCCACCTGAAAAGGGAAATGCTTCTAACGTGACTTCAATGAAAAAGAATATGAAATGCATCAGTGGGCCACATTTACTACAGTTTACTTAACTCAGTTGAACATGCACCATTCCACCGGAACAAATGCTGCACGGAGAACCAAATGTGAATGAATCTCAACCTGAAAACAGTCTACTGTCTTTCCTACGTTCAGCTCTCTATCATACCAGTAAGAACACATATCCCTAACAGCACACAGCTCTGCTCATGGGCACAGAAACTCCACCGATCTGCTGTTCATGCTTTTTGTTTATAGTGGACAGCCAATCAGAGTTAAGTTAGCTCAAAGGAAATGTGCCTTAAAGAGAGAACAAAACTTTTCTCAGACTAAGGATGAACTGAGGGGACCCAAAGCACTTCAGCAGGAACCAAAAGAAGCCAGAAAGTTTGGATTTGAACACAGTTTTGGCCGTTTTATATAATAGATCAAGATGAAACATCTGTTGTCCTTATCCTTCAGGACAACAGATGTTTTCTTGTATTTTGCTCGTTTGTGTTGTTGTGTTTGCACATCTCTGTTGCTTGTGGGGCTCGCACACAAGAATTTCACTCGCATGTGCTGTGCCAGTGTGCCTGCACATGTGATGTGACAATAAAAAGTGATTTGATTTGATTTGATTTGATTTGTTTCACCAGCGGTCAATAATCCAGCTTTGTCAAGATAAGAACTTGATTTTTGGGTGGCAGCTCAATCATTAAACACACTTTTAGAAATATATTGGTTTTTCCACTATCCAGAAGCAACCCGAGAGAATCATTTTTACTTCATATCAATATTCTGTGTGCGTACAGCCATAACAGGAATGCAATAACTGAATAATAAATAAATCCAAGACATCCTATTAGAGAGCATCTTATAGAACAACAGGAATTGTCCATATGAGGTTTTAACAGATGGCCGACCAGCCGCTGTAGATAAATGGCTGTGATCTAATGTGAAAACTGTCAGTGGTTTCACAGTGGAGTGCTTGGTTCTTTTCAATATTCCACTGAAATGACTTTCTGATAAATGTTTTCTGCTGAGGAACGTGTTCTGCTTAGACGCCTGATTTTAAAAATAACGTCTCTATTAGACCGTACTATAATTTATTATCGATGAAAAGAAATATATGGTATCCATCTGTAATTCAGTAAATAACACAGCAAAAAACCAAACTAAACATAAAGACCTGGAAGACTCCTGCGTCTAAATTCATTCAGTTATTGTACTGAGTCCTGAACATGTTAGAAATATGGTATCTAACCAGATTCTTACCCTGGATGGCATTACCTTGGCCTCCAGTAACGCTGTGAGGAACCTTGGAGTCATTTTGACCAGGACATGTCCTTCAATGCACATATTAAACAAATATGTAAGACTGCTTTCTTTCATTTGTGCAACATCTCTAAAATTAGAAACATCCTGTCTCAGAGTGACGCTGAAAAACTAGTTCATGCATTTATTACTTCCAGGCTGGACGACTGTAATTCATTATTATCAGGAAGTCCTAAAAACTCCCTGAAAAGCCTTCACTAATCCAAAATGCTGCAGCAAGAGTCCTGACAGGGACTAGAAAGAGAGAGCAGATTTCTCCTGTTTTGGCTTCCTGTTAAATCCAGAATTCTAAATCCTGCTCCTCACATACAAGGTCTTAAATAATCAGGCCCCATCTTATCTTAATGACCTTGTAGTACCATATCACCCTATTAGAGCACTTCGCTCTCGCTCTGCAGGCCTACTTGTTGTTCCTAGAGTATTAAAAGTAGAATGGGAGGCAGAGCCTTCAGTTTTCAGGCCCCTCTTCTGTGGAACCAGCTTCCAGTTTGGATTCAGGAGACAGACACTATCTCTGCTTTCAAGATTAGGCTTCAAACTTTCCTTTTTGCTAAAGCATATAGTTAGGGCTGGACCAGGTGACCCTGAATCCTCCCTTAGTTATGCTGCAATAGACCGTGGCAGCTGGGGGATTCTCATGATGACGCCGAACATCATCATCACCTCTTTGTCATCATTATCACTGACTACATGTTTATAGACCAATCTCCATTTAATCATTAGTTATCATTAATCCCTGGCCCTTTTCCACAGGTGTCTTTTGACCTGATTTCCTCCCCTCGGCTGTATGAAGTGTTTCGGGGTGACTGATACTGAATTTTCTAACCATGATGTCATCTGACAAAATGACCAAACACAGAGGTTAAGTCAAACTTTCACTTAGACAGAAGCTTAGAAGGGAGAATCTTCTGCAGCTGAAATGTGCGAGAAAGATAGTGGTTCCAGTTTTTAATGTGCAGAATGGATTTCTCTCCACTGAAGCTATGTGCACGGTTTACTTTGTTTGATTCACTTCAGATTCATTGAATCATTTTGTGTCGTATGTTAGACGTCAGTAATGACGATGTGTTAGGGTTAGACACTCAGCTATAACATGCTTACGCTTTCAATTAAGAACATGAACCTTAAATGTTTGCAGTCTTTATTTATATAGTCTTACTGTTAAGTACACACATTACCAAAACACACAAAATACTCTATGAAGATACAAGAAACCAATCATACTCCACTCCTTCCAGCTCCAGCGCTCCTCCTCTGTCCCTCTTTGCCCGAAGATGTCTGGCTACATGTGTGAGCATCTCAAGTGCCTCAGTGAGTTGAGCTAGCTTAGAACCCTTTTCCTGAGGACCCAGGTTGGCCAGTTCCGCTACCTCAACCTGTTCTCCGTTGAGGAGCGCCTGAGCCAGCTCGTAGTGGAGCTGATAGGAGGAGCGGATGAGTGTACGACCATACCAGACCTCTTGGACTTCAAGGGATTCTGCGTCAAGCTCCCAAAGCACGCTCATTGCATACCTGAATTTGAAAGTGTCAGTTACACAACTAGCATGCATTTTAAGCATATGAAAATGAAACGTGTGATGGGAAGTCTACTAACCTGTCAGCACCTCCCAGCAGTGAGCAAAGGTCTGCGCTGAGAATAGCAGGCAGCATGTCGTACCTGCGGTCTGCCAGGTAGTAGGTTGTAGCCCTTAAGAAGTGACATAATAAATATAAAAAGGCAATGAGATCAAAGCAGCAGCTTTATCATCTTCTTTCTAATCAAAAGTGAGACATAATTTGAAAATAAGTACTAAATATTCAGAGTTTGTTCCACCTTTGTCATTTTCATCCTTCTGTTTATTAATAAGTCAGGAAGGATGAAATAAATAAGCAAAATGTTTTCTTATGATTTAATAAATATTCCCCATTTTCTGAAATAGAATTTAAGGCTTCAAACCACAATCATGAGATTTTAATTTGCTTCTTTAAAGTGTGGAGGCGAGCTGGACAGGTGGGTGATCTGCACGCTGCTTTGTGGACAGCTATGAAATGTAAAATGGAATTTTAGAGTAAGTCAGAGAGAAAGCAGAGGACCAAAACTACATTAAAAATCACAACATAAAAATATATAGTAAGATTTCAGTATTATTTTATAAGTGCACGTTGTTAACAGTCTACACGGAGTTTCTCTCCTCACTCGGCTCTCAATCATCTTCTGTACATGCTGCTGCTGCTGCTGCTGCTGCCTTTAAAAACGACATGCACTTCATGGACCTTCTTACTAATTTATCTGCAGACTACACTTTATCAGATACATTTTATTAGCACTGGGTTAGACACTTCTGCCTTCTGAACACTCCTTTCTTCACTTCCAAGACTCAACAAGGTGCTGAAAGAATTCCGTAGAGATTTTGGATTATAGCGAGATTACACCGAGATGACAGCAGAATGCATTTGCTGCAGATTTGTCGGCCGTTCAGCTGTGACACAAATTTTTTTGGGCTGCTTCCCTGTCACATGGTGTCATCGCTGCATGTTCCCAGGAAGGAAAATTTGTGGAGATCAAGTGCAAGCATTACTTTTGCAGCCCCGACCTTCACTTCATTTACTGCAGATATTTTAAACTCAGTTTTATTCATTTGTACAATACAGCACAAAATAAATAAATAAATCAGAACATGTGCATATATCTGGACATAAACACAGATGAATATCTTCTTGTTCTATTACTGTGGTTCAACTGTCTTGTATCATCATCCTCTTTATTAATAAGATGCACTGAAAGCCAATTATAGACAAACCATTAACATCAGGTACTCAAGGTCACATGCCATCATGTGACCTCCGGTGTTTTCCTGACACCCGTAACTGTACAAAGGGGATCTGAAAACAAATGATGTGTGACACACTGTTCTTTACTTCTACCACTCAGTAGAATAAAACTAATTTAGTTGGAAGCAGACTCATTTTTCCTTTTTTTGCTGCATGACCTTCTGGTTGAATGTTGTGTACAAGTATGGCTGCCATGTCCCGTAGTAATATATGTTTATGAAGGCCACAGTGAAAATCACTCAGGCTTTCCCACAGCGGAAACATTCCCCTGTCCTGTTAATGGCATCGTACTCAAATGAGCACAAGTTCTTCGTAACAACATGGACCACTGTGTTCTGTGTGTAGCAGTTCTCTACTGTGAGAACCCCAACCACCTTTTAGCACGACCAGCATTCGTCCATTCGCACACATATTCATACAGCGCGTTAGTCTATACCTTTAAGCATTTTCTCTCACATGCACACTCACACTAATGGATGCATCCAGGGAAATTTGGGGGTTAAGTATTTTGTGCAAGGTGACTTTAACATGAAGCCCGAAGGCACCAGGGATTGAACCAACAACGTGCTGACCATTGGTTCAATTCCTGGTGCCAGTGATACTTTCAAAGCCATCATGGACCCTGTGAAGTCCTTCTACATGTGATTAAATGATAGACATTTAAGGCTTAATGCTTCACATCAGACACGAGCCTTATTTAAGGTGGCCCTCTGTGTTATTTATAATTGCGCTACAAGGCATGCTGCTGATGCAACATTAATTCAGGCAACAACTTTCTTGCCTCTTTGTACTTCTGAAAGTTCCTCTGAACACTTATGCAAGATGCTGTAATTTTCTTTTATCCTTTTATATCCCACCTACTCTACCCAACCACTCCAACCAGTTCCTCACCTTGAACGTGCCTCCAAGTCTGTGAGCGAACCCTCTTTGACAAAGTGAGTGACATCAGCAATGTGAACTCCCAGCTCCAGCCTTCTGTTGGGGAGCTTGTGTACAGACAGCGTGTCGTCTACATCTTCACAGCCGCGTGGATCGATGCTGAACACCAGGCGACTGTCCCTAAGATCCCGCCGCTCTGCCACCTCAGAGGGGTCTACCGTCCACGGCTTCTCCAGAGAGTTGACCGGCATCTCTCTCAGCTGATGGCAGACGGACAGGCACAGCTAAACAGCCGCATAGTCTTTTGAACTTTTCACATTTTGTTATGATTCTATACAAAACATTAATAATAATAATAATAATAATACATTTTATTAAGCGCCTTTCAAAACACTCAAGGACACTTTACACAAAGACAAAGCAAAACACTGTTTCACTTTCAGTTGCTCCCTTGTCACAAGGGGTCACCACACCTGATAGCTCAGCATCTTTTGATACGGCAGAGTTTTATACCAGATGCCCTTCCAGGCACAACCCTGATTTGTATCTCCGGTTGCAATCGAACCAGTGACATTTTGCCTGCAAGCCAGTGTGTAAACCACTGATGAAAAAGGAAAGAATGAACTATTCCACATATTTAATGATTCTTTAATATTTTGTTGATTTGATAATAATAATAATAATAATAATGGATTGGATCTATATAGCGCTTTCCAAGGCACCCAAAGCGCTTTACAATGCCACTATTCATTCACTCTCACATTCACACACTGGTGGAGGCAGCTACGGTTGTAGCAACAGCTGCCCTGGGGCAGACTGACAGAAGCCAGGCTGCCATATCGCACCATCGGCCCCTCTGGACAACAATAGCTATATTGCAATCTTTAAAACCTTTGGTTACTATGGTAACTCTCTGATAACCAAGCACTCTCTGATGTGACCAATCACAGAAGCTCTACTGCCACCCCCTTTATAACATAAAAGTTATGAATGATGTTCCAGTCTATGATAGTGGACTCATCTGTGCTTGTCCTTTGTTACAGCCCATTGCAACCCTTACACTCCTTACAGTGGAAATGCAGTTGTCTTCAGGTGTTGCCTAGGTTTAACTGCCGATTGTCTACACCTGGTGAGGTGTGGCTAAAGGCGTTCCTGAAGTGGTCTAGTCCAATCACCTTCTCCAGGCCAATCAGCATTCATGCTGTGTCCTCGGTTATTCTTCCTTGTACACGCCTCATCTCATCACTCATGCTCCATTCAACCATTCCACCACCAGCTTCCAGGCTCTCGGGGCTCCTGCTCTAATCCTTTTCACAGACGGGGTTCTGTTCCGCTGAGATAGGCCATCTGAGTCTAACGGCAAATCACCTGTTTAAATTCTGTTCATCAGTAAATCAATTTCATTCTTTCAAATAACCTCTCCTTATTAAAATATCTGTACTGTATTTAGTGATGAACAATTGTTAAACTCTGGTGTTTGCTCCCATAATTTCCCTTTTATTTTGACGCTCTCTGCTCTTTCCTCTTTCACCTGATCTCTGACTGCGATTGTTTGGAGGTGAAAACCAAACATCACCTGGGTTTCAGAAAACCAGAGTTACCCTGGTAAGCAACCATTCTCTGTATCTCACTATGGGAGATATAATCTACTTCCAGGTTGTAAGTTCTTTATCCTTAACAAGGTATGGAGCAGGGTAAGCCCACACTAAGGACTGAGTGTGCCAGTGAGAATGCAATAATATCAAAAACGCATAACCTAACAAATGTAATAGATGGTCCTCTGGTGAACTGTGAAGGTCACACTCTCAGTAGCCTTCAACAGCCACACAGACAGATACACTCAACAAAACAGGAACACACAGATGCTTCAATCTATGCAAAGGAGTGCAAGACACAGAAAAGCGCTATATATGGCTACATTTTCAGCAATTTACCGTTTAAAAGTGGGCCCTGCATAAACAGGATGTGGACCAATTGGTGCATTCCCAAAGTAAATGTGATACGAAAGAGTAGCTAAATGCAGTTTAATAAATGGAAAATAATCCTCTCTTATTTAGCTAATCCTGAAGGAAACATAACACATGTGGAACAGAGTTAGGAATGGGTACCGGCAATGTTCCCTCGAAGCTGTGTGTGTGCACAATTGCGCACTGCTGGCACGGTCTCTGCGCACAGAAAATCTGCGTTGCGCACAAAAAAAAAAAATCTAACCTGAATTGAAATTAAAATCAATACTTTAACAAGTCTGTTTTGCAGTGTTAGTCAGTGACTGGCTGCTCCCGTATGGGATCCAGCCAGTAATGCGATTCACATTCGTATATACGCAGCTAATCAATGTCGTTGACAGGCTCTGACAGCGTCCTTATGTGCCGACACCGGTGTTTTAGCGAGCAAAGCGGCGTGGCGACGTTTAGTGTGTGTCAGAACAATGAGGCGACTGCTGAGTGTTACAGGTGTTACAGCAGTGACACATCTGCTGCTGTCAGGCCTGCAGGTATCAGGCTGTTGTTCTCCTTCATCTCATAGTGGACAGAAATTATTTTTTGGAGTGGCACAAATAATTTGTGTGGCATCAGATTTGATGCAATTTGATGATTGTTCTCTAAATAATTTAAAATGTTTATTTAAAAAAACGCCTTGGCTGCATTTTTAGGTAAACAGCTGCAAAAAACTTTGTTGTTTGCATAACTCAGTAACTTTTTTGAAGAAGTAACTATATAATTAATTACCCAACATTGGTCATTATTTACTGTATTTTGCAGACAGAGTTACAGACTCTCTCCCAGACCACAGACTCATAATACAAGTCAGAGCTTTATGAAAAAAAAACAAAAGAAACTTGTGTTTTCAAAATTGGAGTTCAAGTTATTTTTACTTCCAATAGTGTTAACATGCTACACAGGTCATGAACAAGATTTTTTTGTTTTGTTTTTTTAAATTTTCATTGTAAGTGGGCTAAAATAGTTAATTAAAAGTAGTCTAACATAAATGTAAATGCTGTAATTTTATTATTTTAATAAACCATGTAACTTGCATGGATTCGATGCTGGCGTCACCACAGTGCACACGTCTGCTGTTGCTCACAGTGGTCCAAGGGATCACTCAGGGAGTTTGTGTGTTCGCTCAGACACATGAAAAGTTAGAGGGAACATTGGGTGCGGGTATACCGGATACGGGTGGCTTTTTTTTTTCTTGAGATGTCATACACTTTGGATTCTAGCCAATCATTTTACGTTTCCGAGGATAGTAGGCGGGTCCAGGTACGTATGTTCTTTGAGAGCAGAGCTACAGATTAAATGTCCAAGGCAAAGCGGTCAAAAGTCTGGCTGTACTTCACAGCAAAATATGCAAACTCAGCAGCCTGCAACAAGTGCTTTAAGGTGATACTATGATACTGTGCAAAGGAAGTAACACCTCAAATCCGATGAAACACCTGGCAACGCAATAGCGTTTTTTTAAAAGCAGAGAAATGCATCGTATTTGATAGCTTGCTGTGAGACTTCACACCGAGCACATCTGCTGCGGGTGGGTTGCCTGTTATTGGACCTGGAGTTAGCAACATCCCCCAAAAACCCGAAGAGGAGAGTCCTGGCCCCTAGCCCTGCCAGTGTAGCAGACGGATGATGATGCAGCAGCAGCCGTTCTTCTCTGCGTGAGTAGCTTAATGTTGTTCGTGTGTAATTTACGTTGAGTAGGCTAACCACGTTATTACATTAATGCATGTACGGTGAACTAGCAACCACCGTCGTAGTTACATGCGGCTGTCTTCTTCTTTGATAGAGTGATACCATACATGCCCTATAGCTGCAGAAAAAGCTAACACCATTATCTTTTTACAAAAAAACAAACAGCTAAACATGTTTTCCATTATTCACCGGTTCCAAACAAAGTAGGTATGTTGTATCAAAAGAAAAGGCTAACTTGGTTATCATTTTGCAGAAAAAAGAGACTGCTAAAAATAAAAACATAAGAGGTTTTTGGACAAAGTTTGTGTTCTCCATTCTTTAAGCAATTCAATTCAATTCAATTTTATTTATATAGCACCAAATGACAACAAAAGTCGCCTCAAGGCGCTTCATAGATACAGAGGAAAACCCAACAATCATATGACCCCTATGAGCAGCACTTTGGCGACAGTGGGAAGGAAAAACTCCTGTTTAACAGGAAGAAACTCCGGCAGAACCAGGCTCAGGGAGGGCGGGGCCATCTGCTGCGACCGGTTGGGGTGAGAGAAGGAAGCAACGGTTAGAGCACCATTTAAGCACCCGCACAGTTTCAAAAGTACCGGTATCGGATAAAACCTAAACGATACCCATCCCTAAACAGAGTATAGATAAGGAATCTCTCAATACTTCATAAAATGAGCATGTAGAAAGTGATCTAGCATTCTGAATGTTCACAATGACTCTCAGAGAGAGACCTGCTTCATTTTAAATCAGCCACTCGTGTGCCACGCCCAGAGTGCTGACCATTTGGGATGTGGAAGAAAAAAATCACGCCAAGTCAATGTTCAAAGGCAATGGTCATGGCCAGTAGTGGAACAGAAAAGCTAGTTCTGCCATCAATGGCCTGATGGGCCAGTATGGGATCTATAAAAATGAGAGACAGCTACTCCTCCCTCACCCCACTCAGTATCACTGGTATGAGGTTGAGAAGGGGAAAATGCATACAGGTGCCCTTATCAAGCAGGTGGCCAATGTCCTGAAAGAGCTTAGCCAAGTAAGCTGACAGTAGGGTGACCACATTAAGGGTTATTATGGACCGAGCTGTCAACTTGCAAACCTTTTGGTCATATAAGTCTGTGAAGGTTCTCAGTCATCCAGGTCATCGTAGTCTAAGGAGCTTGGAAAGAAAAGCGTCCAAACTTCTATAAGTTCCTTGAAGACGTTTCACCTGTCAGAAGCTTCTTCAGGTCTAGGAGTAACTGGTGGAAAGAAAGGCTGTTGGCTCTTTTAAAGGGACAGTACCTAACCACTGGTACAGATATGTTGATGACACATGGGTCAAAATCAAAACCCAGGAAGTAGAATCCTTCACTGTTTACATCAACGCTGTGGATAAAAACAAAGTTCACCAGGGAAGACACAAAGGATAACAGTATGCCATTCCTGGACTTTGCCGTGCGCATTAAAGAGAACGGAAACCTCAACATGAAGTTTACTGGAAGCCCACACACATGGACCAGTACCTCCTGTTTGACTCCCATCACCCTCTGGAACACAAACTTTGAGTAATCAGGACCCTACACCACCGGGCAGAACATGTTCCCTCTAAGCCTGAAGGGAAAAAGAGGGAACACACACATGTAAAGGAAGCTCTTAAAATGAGACAAGACTCAGCTGTCAGAAGACATAGTTTGAAAGAGAAGTAAAAGAGGCATCTATGTCCACTGTGAGCGACCATCTTTGAACAGAGGCAGCGGCTTACGACACCAACTGTCTGCCATCTATAATCCAGTTTTGAGATCCCTTCCCAGACGCTTCCACTCACATCCTGGGCCATCTGACCTCAGGAAATCACATGATAGGCTGGGGCTAGGATTCACAGTGGGTTCACCCGAATACTTGGCTGATTGTGACCCACACCCATTTTCACACCTTGGCTCGTGTGATTAGGTAGAGGATCATTAGGGGGTCCATCTCTCCTGGGGGACACTCCCATAGGGCTTAAAATCTGGGACTCTGCACCTAGAACTGAAGAAACCTCTCAGATGAGAGGTGAAACATCTTCAAGAAAAAGTCCAGACTCTTTTTTTCCCCAAGCTTTTGGTATATGGAGCTGCTAGGGTTCTTTCACTGCTTGGTGATTTGGTAATAATGTTTTAATAATGTCCAGCTGTTTTTGGACAATTCTGAAGCTTATTAATCCTTAACAATCAAAAACCTACATCCAAAGTACAACCAGAGCTGGGAATTAGTAACAAAAACATATTTTCTGAAATTACTTAACTTACTAGAATCCTGCAAGTTTTATCACACAGGATGAAGCAAATTACTCACCAAAGTATTTCCAAACTGTGTAGATGGGTATTTGCCACCATTTGCGTCAATTATGGTTGAATTTAACTGTTTAATTGCAATTTATAGACATCAAAAAAAAATCACATTTTATCATAATATTTATATTCACAATAATTGCTGATGGGTTCACAACAGCTAAATACGAAAGGTGAAACATACTATATAGGCTTGTGGAATTTGCCTTTTAGAGATGTAAAAACTTGAATTTATCTCTAACGTAGGTGCTCTCACCTGTGCGTCTGAGAAAGGAAGAATATGGATGCAGTTCTCTAGGAGGATGGTCTGGACCTCAGTCTCAAGCTCTCCAGCTCGACCCAAAACCCGTACACTATGGCCGTTGGGATAGAATGACGTGCTTTCCCATGAATCAATGCGCACCACAACTCTGTGGTCCTAGGTGAGGATGAGAAGACAGGGATAGAAATGAGACAGCACTTAGTAACACTGGTCACACTATGAGACAAAAGCATAATGCTATAGTAACACTAGAGACTGGAGCGCAAACAAGATCGGTGTTGCTATGTGCAATGAATTTGCAATATTGTTGGCTTTGAAATGCTTCTTTGGAAGACGGGGACTAATTCTGCAACTACTCTCAGTCAGTTACTTTTATTTAAAGGGTGCAAAACACCAATCAAATGGTGATAAGATGGTCTGGAGATAGAGTCCTGCTTTTCAAGGCAATCACCTGAAAGCGTTCATCCAGAGGTTGACAGTGTTGTATTCTCAACCTTTGATCGACCAGTTGGTTGCCGTAACTACTTGTAATTGAACGCTGAATGCAAAATATTCACTGCAATCACTGGAAAAGCAGCGTTTTTTCTTTGTTACAAGGCAGGTGCCGTCCTATTTTTACTCATGTGACTAAGCCATAATGTACATCATGAAATAAAATCAACCTATAGATGTAAGTCAAGTCAGACCTGCAGAGCTTCAGCCTGTTGAGTACTGATGCGGATTTTAGGAATACGCTGGTCCAAGGTATGGTCAGTATCCGCTGGGAATTCCTGCTCTGGGACTGAATCCCATCCCTAGTGGGGAAAGTTACCACGTAGTCTCTCCAGTTCCTCTGCAGGATCCCTACAATACGACCTGTGGGGTTAAATGTCAGACATCAGTACAGAGAGACATTTATGGAGTAAGTGAGGATGGACTCGATGATTGCGGTGTAGAATTGCATCATCGTCCGTGTTGGCAGGTTGAATTTCTTCAGCTGCCTCAGGAAGCACATCCTCTGCTGAGCCTTCTTTATGACGGAGGTGACGGAGGCTCCCACTTCAGGTCCTGGGTGATGGTGGTACCCAGGAAGCGGAATGAGTCACAGAGGTGATGGGGGTGTCAGTCAGGATGATGGGGGGGAGTGGGGCTGTGTGCTTCCTGAAGCCCACAATAATCTCCACTGTCTTCTGGGCATTCAGCACCAGGTTGTTGTGGCTGCACCAGGACACCAGACGTTCAACCTCCCTCCTGTAGGCAGACTCATCCCCGTCCGAGATGAGTCCAATACGGTGGTGTCATCTGCAAACTTGATTAGCTTGACAGACTGGTGGGTGGAGGTGCAGCAGTTGGTGTACAGGGAGAAGAGCAGAGGAGAAAGAACGCAGCACTGGGGGGGAGCCGGTATATACATATGTACTACATAATTACATATGTGTTCATTCATAGTTTTGATGCCTTCAGTGAGAATCTACTATGTAGAAGACCAGGCCATGACAGAAAAACCACTAAAAAAAAGGCGTGTCCACACTTTTGACTGGTAGGGGCTTCAGGTGTGCTTAGTGAATACCTCAGGCACCAGAAACCCAAGAAAGAGAGCAAGAAGAGGAACCATCATGGAAGGACAGGATCCTGCACAGTACCACCAACAGATAAAAGAACTAGCTCACATCCAGAAATCCTACCAGTGGCTGGACTGACTGAAATAGAGCACAGAGGCACTATAATGGCAGCACATGAAGCCATAAGTACAAGATCCATAGAGGCTGGGGTCTACCAGACCAGTCAGTCAAGACCCCAGATACAAGCGTAAAGATGCCCCTGAGACAATCCAGCACATAACAACAGGGTGCAAGATGCTAGCAGACATACGCCATAACCAAGTGGCCGGCATAGTATAAAGGGAATATCTGTGCCGAGTATGGCCTGGAAGTCCCGAGGTCAAACGGGAGACGCCCCTTAGTGTGATGGAGAATGACCGAGCTAAGATGCTTCGGGGCTTCCAGATACGACGGACAATGGTGATGGTAATCGGACATAGTGGTGGTGAACAAGCAGAGGAGACGGCTGTAGTGACAGATTTAGCAATCATCAGGACATCAGGACGAAGGAACATGAGAAGCTAGAGTACAGGGCTCAGAGAAGAGCTTGAGAAGATGTGGAGGTGACGGTAACAGTGGTCCCGTGGTAACCTGAGCACTCGGTGCGGTGACTCCCAAGCTAGGCGAGTGGTTCCAGCAGATCCCGGGACAACATCTGAGATCTCTGTCCAGAAGAGCACAGTCCTGGGAACAGCAGAGATGCTGCGCAGGACCTCAAGCTCCCAGGCCTCTGGTAGAGGACCTGAGCTTGAAGGATTGACCGCCCGCAGGGGGGGAAGTTTTTTGTCCTTAGGACCTCGTGTGTAAAATAATAACAATAAGAAGGGTTAACAATGGTCAATTGCCTCCAGTTAGATTAAAATGTATTTTATGTGTTGCATATTTTTTATGTAAAACACAGGGTGTTCCATTAGCCAAATTAAAAGTGTGACAAGCTAAAACAGTATTTTTGCACCTGAACTATCCCTCCCTGTTCTAGGTCTGCCACAGCTGAAAAGATTATTGATTATTTGTGCGAGTCCACGTGTATAGTTGCAGGAGTGTTCCTTGCCTTTTGAATACTGGGCCTGAGTTGTGTGCTTAATTAATTAGTGTTTTTCTTTCTTTCTCTCTTTTGTCATTTGCGAGGTTACACTGGCAAACTTACGGGGCCCCGTCTGTCTCTGTTCTGTTGTGTTTGGTAAAGGGAACTGTATGTTAGTGGAAGCTCAGGATGCGTTCCCTGCCATTTGTGTCTCCTAGACTTAAAACTTTCTTTTGTATTGGACGAAAGAAAAGGTGTCAGAGTAAAAAAAATTCTACAGAGATGAACAATATCTGCCATGTCATTAAAAAGCAGGAAAAACCAGCAAAGACGTGACACAGAACCTGAGAGATGCATTTGGCCTTGAGTTGTTCGACGAAACTTCATCGTTATTTGAATCTCTGGAAATGTGGCTGTCAAGAAGCTATTCCCTGACGAATGAACCATGGAGAGAGGTTCAGTTGTGCCAAATTACACCAGAACTGTAATAAAAATCAGTAGCAACTTTAAAAAAAGTTTAATTGTGAATGCCTGTCCAGAAAATAGCTTCCAAATGTTATTTCACCCAAATATGTTCTTATAATGTTGCTTCATGCAGGTGATATAAACAAGAATGGTGAATGGACTAATTCTATACAGCTCTTTTCTACTCTCACCCATCACCCCATTCACACAAGCACTTCCTTCTATGCGTTAATGCTTACTAAGCAACATTCACACTCACTATACTCCAATGGATGCATCGGAGAGCAACTTGGGGTTAGTATCTTTCCCAAAGTACTCGGCTTGCAGACTCGGGGAGCCACGGATCGAACCATTCATGTGGTTCGATCAAGATGCTCATTGTTTTCATTACTTATTTGTGAGATATCCTGAACATATTTTAGGCAAATCAGACAGAAAATATAATACACAAATATCATTAAATACAAAAATAAATCAAATGTGAATGAATGGAGTACAAACATTCCCACCTGTTGGCAGAGGTGTACTCTCATTGTCCTCTCCAGTTTTTCATCCCATCAGTCAGGGCTGTGTCCCTCCCTCTCCACTCGTTTTGGGCAACAACTCCACCACAACCTCGTCCCCATGCACGCTCTGTTTCGATTTTTCGACCATACACAAGCACATCCCAAGTCAATCTAAGATGGATAGGGGGGGTCAAAGTCGGGAGAAGAGATCAGAAACGTCTAGCAAATATAAGTTTAATGTGTCTGTTCCACCTGTTTTGAAAATGTAAGGCGTTTTCACCTGTGCTCTTGGTTGAGAAGTTCTTCGGCCTGACGAAAGCCTCGTTCTGTGCCCGATGCTTGTTAACATTCAGTGTACTCTAGTAAAAAGGAATGAAACAAGACATTTACTCTTCTGCCACTGAGGTTGTGTTAAACAATCTGGTGAAAAACTCCACTGCCTTCTCTTTGTGACATCTCCATACCTGCTCAGGTACAGTTGGGGAAATAATTATCACTGCTGAATTTGTAGGTTCCTCAGTTACAAAGAAAGAACAATTATTCATGTTATTTCTTAATGTTAGTTTCATTTAATGGAGAGCGATAGAATATCAACCAAAAACTGTCTGTGAAGGTTCTCAGTCATCCAGGTCATCGTAGTCAAAGGAGCTTGCAAAGAAAAGCGTCTGGACTTCTTTAAGTTGCTTGAAGACATTTCACCTCTCATCCGAGAAGCTTCTTCAGTTCTAAGGTCAAATGGTGGAGAGTCCCAGATATAAACCTAGTGGGAGTTTCCCCCCACAGAGGACAAAGGACCCCTGATGATCCTCTAATCGCCTGAGCCAAGGTGTGAAACTGGGTGTGGGTCCCAATCAGCCAGAGTTTCGGGTGTGTTCATTGTGAAACCTGGCCCCACCTTATCATGCGAATTCCTGAGGTCAGATGGCCCAGGATGTGAGTGGGCGTTAAGGCATCTGGGAGGATCTCAAAACTGGATTATAGATGGCAGAGATTGGTGTCGTAAGCCCGCTCTGTTCAAAGATGGTCGCTCACAGTGGACATAGATGCTTCTTTCACTCCTCTTTCAAACCATCTGTCCTCTCTGTCCAAAATGTGAACATTGGCATCCTCGAAAGAGTGACCTTTGACCTTTAGACGCAGATGTCCATCTGCCTCAGGAAACTCTTTCTCCCATCGTCACCCTCTGACTACTCCACTTGATACCAAGAAAAGTCTTACCACTGGCAACAAAGGTCTCTACCCCAAATACTAAGCCATGTTTTGCTTGGGGACTCACTGAAGTAACTTGCCAATCCCTTTATGACTTTTTAAAATAATAATATAATATAATGATGTGTTTTTCTGTCTCTCTCCTTTAAAATTAAACTGCAAGAAAACTTAGAGACAGTTCATATCTTCTTCATTCAATAACAGTCCTGCTCTTCATCTCATTTTCTTTATTCGTCAGCCCCTCAAATACTCCTACCTCCTCAGCACACTCCCTACACTCATCAGTGTATTTCGTTAGTATAGATTAGTATATGTATTAAAGGTACCTGCAGTTTCTCTGAAAAATGAACAGGCTTAAAGCTACTAAAATATTTAAACTTTGTTCCTGCAGTTGTTTTAAACTCGTGTTTTAAAGAGAGATCCGGTATACTTAAAACAGGAGTTAGAGAATTGTGGATCAATATGTTTGTCATTGCACAAGATGATCAGATCTTTAGCATGAATGCTCACCTCTGTTTTCTACACACACACATCACTGATCACATCACATGCTCACAGAGACACATTCACATACACACACATCACATGTTCACATGTGCGTGTCTTATCTGTCGCATCATTAATGTTGATGTTTGTGTGACCACTGAAGTTAATAAAAGGGCTTTGAGGGAAGGCTGGAGTTGGGCTAAGATCAGATGAAGAGCTTCTCCCTTGCAGCAAGTAAAAGAAAGCGCTGAGTCAGCGGGGTTTGAGCGTTAGACCCAACAACAGGTTGGTACATTTTTACCTGAATGTAACGTTCAGACTTTATACCAGCCTCCAGGACTTCAGCGGGAAGATGTTCGGGAAACTCTTTCTCCCCATCGTCGCCCTCTGTCTCTTGTTGTGCCTGAGAAATGGAGCTAAACAGTTCATGGGCTGCCTGCAGATCTGACCAGAAGCTTTGCAAATAATCCTGGCAAGGAAAAACACACAGGTCAAGAAATAAATTACTTCAGTTGGCCTTCTTAGTTCCAGTAACATCCCTTCAAGGGCCTAAGTTTTGGATCCTCTTCCACTTAACCTTATCAGGTTCGAGAAAGAGAAATAGAGTAAAATCTTTCAAATTCACCTCAAATCAACAGCCAGATGCTTAAACCTTTTGATACAGTTAGACGTCCTCAGTATTAGTATTACAATAATAGTTAAATAGATATAAGAACTGGTTTCAGAATAAATAAAGCGAGTTTTTGGAATGGGCTTCCCAAAGCAACAACCTCAACCCTGTTGTTAATGTTGGACCGTGCTTAAACGCCACGACCGTTTTAGGAAACCAACCAATTTAAATGAATTCTACCAATTCTGGTTGAAAATCTCTGTTTTCAGTGACCGAAAACGCCGTTTACGTGTGGACGAAAGGCGCAAACACATAGAAAAATCTGCGTTTTCAAAAATACCCGGGTACGTATGTTTGGATAAAAATATACAAATCTGGCAGCAATGTATCAAAAATGTATCACAATAGAAAGCGATGTAATATTAATTTCACGGCTACTAGCATGTACTGCTCTTTTTCCTTTAAATAAACATCAGACTTGATATCAGTCCTTATTGAGCAATAAGTTTACTCTCTGACCGACTCGTGTTTGCGGCGTTCCAAACACGTTGCCAAGAGGGAAGATGCAGAGTACCTGTGAAGCCAAACATATAATATCAATACCCATAACATGGCTAAAGGCTGTTTCTAACCTCTCTTCTTTACTTAACTGTCATTTATTGACCATTTTAAATGGCGATACCAGTGTATCGACAAATAGGTAAAAAGTGTAACTGTTTTTTTCTGACAGAGCTCGGATCAATCAGTGCAATTACAAACAAGGCTGTGACCTTCACCTTTAGCGAAATTCTCATTTACATACTAGTTTAATAGTTTTCTGACTCATTGTCACTGTGTTTTATACAACCACAGCATGCTTGCTAGGCTGACATGAATTGAAAAACAAAGTGCAGCTCTCCGTATGTAAACAGACTAAATGCCACATATATTTACATTTTGTCACTTAACCAAGAAATCATGTGTAATGACCGAAAGTTTGACAACAACCACCAATTTCACTTCTAAGTGAGACTGTTCTAATACTGCTGCCAAAAATGTAAGTGTTTCAAAAACCCATGCCTGCTACATGCTACAATAGTCCCACTGAAGATTAGTGAAATAATACAGACCAACCAACTGTTCCATCATATAGGCTCCAACACAACGACTTTAACACAAAGACCTGACTTTCAGTTTTAGGTGTTCAAACCACGTGTTTCTCTAAATGCATGATGATAAATCCTGTAAGGTGGCTACATATAAGAAGCCGATATAGAGTAGATGGTATTATAAAGGTATTTCATATACCTGGACGGAGATGACGTACACTCCAGACGTCAGGCTGCTGAACTGAGCTACGGCCTCAGGATCCTCAGTGATCATCACTATATTCATCATTCCTGCCAGGTGGTTGTAGTACCACACTGCAGCTGAGTACACACACCTACACACACACACACACACACACATACACACACACACACACACACACACACACACACACACACATACACACACACACATTAAATGAACTCACAAGTTTAGCATAAGATGCATGAAAGCAAATTGCCCGCTAAAGCAATAATCTTTAACATATCCCACTAAGTTTTTGCTGTTTTGTAGGTGGAAGTTATGATTTCACACTACTTGTAATTCAAATGGTGCTTCCACAGAAAGAATATAAAAAATAAATAATTGAGTGCCTTATCTATATAATAAACACATTTCATGAGAACACACTGCACTTCTAGCTTCATTTTTTGGCACAACATAAAAGTTTGTCAGATCGTGATTAACATTACAACCAAGTCTCTATTATTAAAAACACTCATTAAATCCTTTTGGTGCTTTCTCTATTAAACTGGTATAAATATTAATCACTTTTAAGCTGCCATTCACAAGTCCTCCTGACTTCTTTGTTCCTGCACTTGTTTTCTACCTGAAGTGGAGGAAAAACATTTTTGAAAATGTTAAAATGACCCCTTTACCCATTGAACCCCTATTGGGACAAAACACTATGAATGCTCGATTGACATCTTAGCCAGTACGTGTGCTCTAAGTGCCATATGCATCTGCACCGCTGGCCTGTTGCACAATTTGAAAGAAAGTTCAAATGTAATGTTTACATTTTTAAATCTCCCAGATGAATTTTGCACACGTGTGAACTATACATTTATGTCACTTTCACAAAATATTTTTTAAACCCAGAGACTTAACATTTTTAGAAACACAATTTCCTTTCAAGAGTTGCTGAGCAGAAGTAGTCAGCAGGTGCAGTCAAAGACATTTTGTGTGATTGGATGATTATCAGGATGTCCTAAAAGCATCATTTGAAAAACCTTCAGTTAATCCAGTCCAAGAACAAAAGAACATATTTCTCCCATACTGGCTTCCCTGTTAAATCCAGAATTTAATTTAAAATCTTCTTACACAGAAAAGTCTTGAATAATCAAACCCCTTTTACACACCCACTTTACTCTCAGGCTGCGGGCTTATTTGTGGGGTTTACAAAAGTAGAATGGGAGGCAGAGCATCAGCCTTCATGCCCTTTTTTGTAGAACCAGCTTCCTATTTGCACACGGGAGACTGACGCCCTCTCACTATTAAGATTAGGATTAAAACTTTCCTTTTTGATTTATAGTTAGGGCTGGATTGAGTGACCCTGAATCCTCCCTTAGTTACGCTGCAATAGGCAAGATTGGGGACTTCCCATGGTGCAAGTATTTCATCTTTACTGAAGAACTGAATATGTTTTATTAGCATAATCTCCATTATAATTAATGAGATTTACAAATTTCACCTAGTGAAACATGTAACGTCACACTTTGACCCAGAAAAACAAAATGAAGTCAAAGAAGTATAAGTAGAAGAAAAAACATGACAAAGAGGAAAAAATGAGAAAGGAAAAGACTCTATAGACTCTATTTCTATGCTACATGTGCTGCAGCAACTTGACTGTACACTTCAGTGAGTGTGGTAAATAATGAGCACTGACCTGGTCTGCCATTTTTCCTGGCTCTCGCCCTTCTCTCGTGGACAGTAAGAGTACTTCTGAAATTCATTGGCAAACAGCACGCAGTCGTGTCGAGGGTCTTTGACAAGGGTTTGCAGCCGCTTGTAATATCTGCACAAACGCACATTACAAAAACAAGTACATTCAATAAAATCATAAATTACACTCAAGAAAGCCTCTCATTAGTTTGGGAGAATGGTGGGGATGTTAGGAGAACGTTAACCCTGAAGCACGAGGGAGAAAAAATAGACCAACGTATGTTGACTTTTCCTAACATAATTTATGTTCCTTTGTTCATTTTGGCTCATTTTTTAAACTCACTCTTGTTTGTAAAAATCAAAATAAAACAAAGACTTGTCTGTCAGATAATATGCATTAGACCTAAACATAAGATCCTGATCTGAAATTATTGAAAGAGGATGACACCTGGCTTTGTTATCCTTTGAGTTTCACAATAAAAGCCCAGTTGGTGAACTAAAGCAGCAGATTGCTTTTTTCTGAAACATGTTGACTATGTGTGAACACTATACTGCACTAACTTTAACGTGGCACATTTCAGAGTACATGTAGTAGCTGTTTCACACTAAAAATGAACACTTGTACTGATCAAACAGATGAAATAAGAAATAAAGGCCTACAAATGCCCCGATCACTAGTTGAGTTAATATAGATGATGTATAGAAAATTCAGCGATTCTGCAAAGGTGAAACTGCAAAGAGAGTCCACGATGAAGCTTTTTTCTCTTTGCTGTGTACGTTAAAGTCAATGGAAAACAGTAAGTAGTGATTCAGTATGACAACTCTGTATGTTTCACCAGATGTCCACCTAACACTATCAAAGTGAAGCCTCATCACATTAATGATGCAACACTCTAAAATGGCTGTGTGAGCACAAATCAGGAATAAACTGGACTGAAACCCGAGTTCACGTGGGACTTCTTATTTACAGTGCTCATCAAGTTTGTCCAAAGCGCTCCTGCATGTTTATGCTGGACACATATTTCAAGTCACAGGCTGCGTCTCTTTCAGCTTTGTCAGCAGAGCTCTGATATAATGAGGCTGACCCCTGGTCAATGTCTACAGACATGTGTAGCTAGCTTAAGCTGGGCACACAGCTAACAGCTTGATTATGAATGCAACTCAACATTTCAAACAGAAATTCAAAAAGAGCATCAGAATGGGGAGGAAAGTCGTTTAAAAGACTTTGAGCACGGCTGGTTACTGGTTGCAGATGAGCTACTCTGAGCATTTCAGGAAGCAGGTGCCGTGTTTGGGGATAGTTAACAACGCAGACAAGTTGCATTCATTTTAATGACATCACCACTAACTGCATTTTAAGACATGCAGTTAGTGGTGACAGGTTAATTGGAAACACTAAATTGCCCATAGGTGTGAATGGTTGTGTTAGTCCTGTGAGACTGGCTGACACATACCCAGGAGGGATGGATCAGCATTTACTGATTTCAGTGGTCAATGTGTTCTTCAACATTACATGACTGTTCAAAACCTACATGATGAAGAACTGAAACAGTTTCCATGTAACAAAGCCACAAATAACAAAAAAGAACATCAGTACTGGCCTGTTTCCTTCCCAGTAAACTCCCCCCACCCCCAAAAACAAAAAACAAAAACAAAAAAACCCCAAACAATTGTACCTGCGATTCTTGCTCTGTAGAGCCTGGCAAGCAGTCTGGGTGAAGATGATGCCCTGCAGCTCTCTGAACTCCAAGATCTCCAGGTAGTCGACCACGACAGCAACATCAGGCACCACATAGTGGGTCAAATCTCCGGGCAGCAGCTTTCCATCTGTTTGGGAAGATCAATGTTCAGCGATAAAGGCTTCTTTCTACAGCTCTTTATTTGCTTGATTTCCTATTGGAAATTTTATCAACTGTGCTAAAAGACACTTAAAAGCATCCTTCTTTTACATTTGCTTGTTTCCTACTAAACGTTGCACAGATGACAGGAATCGATGTACATCCAGAGAAATGCGTTTAAATATTTTCCAAAATGTCCCATATAAAGAGTTTATTGTGCTTACACATCACTCTCTTTGAAATACTTGTTTTTACTTTATTTGCACACCAGATGTTCATCAGCATATTACATGGCAAAAACTAAATTTATTGTTACTTTGATATATTTCAGTACCAGTTATTGTAATGCAGTCTATCTTGATTATGACCCATCATATTAACAGTGAGCAGCCTCGCAGCAGTTTTCCAGGCTTTCTAAAAGTCTTTCTTTGGACACTTGATGGTTTTTCATTCACAGTTATTATACCAAACATTTTCATTTAGTTTTAATTTGTTAAGCCTAACCTATGAATCATTCATTAAAAAAACACCTAACTCGAGGGATGAACCAGGGTTATATCTAGACATTATAACACAGCAAAAATAAATAAATAAATTGCATCTTTTTCCAATTTCTTTAGCTGAATCTATGAAAAATGCCACAGATAATGCAGTCTGACATTCATAAAATAGTATTTTTCACCAACAGGCTGATATCTGCAGCACTATTAGCCTAAAACTTGATATAAACATAAACCTGGCACATCTTATACAATGGATTTCTTTTTAGGTCTTCAGATATTTCAATAAATTGTTGCACCTATTTTCTATTTTCCAAGCAAAATGCAAAGACATGAGGTGTTGCTCACAATGTTTTCAGGGCGCTGTATAACCTACAAACACAAGGAAGATCTGTATTAAGATGAAGTCAATATACACAATATACACAGAAAAAAACCTTTTGAACTCGTATTGATATTTCATAAAAGTGCTGATCATTCTCATCTCAAACACTAAACAGCAGCACAAATGTGCAAGCTTAAGTGATTGTTCTTTACTACAGATGACCCTATCAAGTATTTGGATCACATATCAGTGCAGTCCAGACTCAAAAAGCAAATCCAGTTCTACACTGTTCTGCGTTTACATCCCTACTGTCAGCAGCAGATCACCAGCTGATCATAGCATGAAGGAAACCAACAGCTAAAGAGCTGGCAGCCTGCAGGCCTTTTACACCTGCTGTGCTCAAAGCTTTTCTCTGAATGCTTCTAACAAACTGTGGTCAAGTGAGTGGACGTCACTAAAAAGCTCTACAAACCTGTTGGCTTTACTCTCTCACTTGCATGTTCTCATTAAATATATCTGGTTTAACAACTACTACGAACACTTTATTGAACTTACGATAGCACTGTTGGTTGTGTCAACTTGATTAATATTACACCAGTTCACCTGTCTCTTATCAGCCCCACTCCATGCATTACATGCATATGAAGATGTGCACTTACATTAAGACTGAGAGCAGTGAAAGAAGAAACTGTCATAACCATAAAGCACAGATCAATAACGATTCTGAGCTAAAATTAACTAGTGCAAGTACATTTAGGGAAAACAAAAACATGCTTTTTCAGGAAAGGAATCTTTGAGTGCATCCTGACTGCCTCTAACGAGTTTCTTCCTCACAGTGAGGAATATCGCATAACATTGTTCTGCCCACACAAGCTACCGATCTGATACCTTTTGGTTTTATATCTTAGACAAAGTCAGACTGGTGCACCCTTGCCTCTTATCTGTGCACAGGTTTGCCATTTAACTGTCATACGAGGTAATTCTAGCTTTGGGTCATACTGTATGCACTTTGCTATTTCACGATTCATGTTACAGTGAAGCAAAGTATAATATAATAAAAATGACGTTATTTTCCTCGTGATTGTGTACAGCCCCAAACCCCTACCTGCCAGCACTGCGTTAACAACAACGTTAGATTCTTCTATAGCAGTAAACAAAGAGCAGTTTTTGTGAATGTGACATTTTGCTGATTTTACCATTTACACAGTCGGCCTGACACAGTGAGCTGCAGCAGGGGACCCGCTCTCTCAGATAGTGTTCCCGGACCACTCGGAGCTTCCGCCCCACGCAGCTTTTCAAATGCAGCACTCTCTCCGTTTTAATCATCGTCCACACTCACTAATGAGCCACATACAGCTGCCGGCGCTCGCTAACTTGCTGTTCAGCCAAGACGCGGGAAGACACGGTTGTAAACATTCACGGCAAAGTTCAGCGAAATACGGAAGGAAAGGCACGACCGCTGACGTCATGACGCCCAAGCAGTACCGCGTCTTGCTGCGTTCAAGTGCTGTCGGACGCTCACTCAGGCCAGTAATGGGAATTCGTCTTTTTGATGACCTCGGTACTGACTCGGATCAGCGATATAAGAGCCAACACTTATATCAACTCTCAAGGCTCCCAAGCTGCATTACCCTTTATCCAAATGAAGCAACGTTAAAGCCTTTAATTCATCTTCATGTTGGCAGTTAGAGTCAAATCTAATCTGAGCTGCTCCCGTGTCTGTATGTTTTCATTTGGCAGTTTTACGCCCAGTGCCCTTCCTGACACAACTATACTACAATACTACCATAAAAGTAATTATAGTAAACCTTACGATTTCCACAAATTTAAACAAAACTACATTAATATCAAAGCATCAAGGAATACTACAGATGTGTATAAAGGCTTCATTTATATTGCACAGTTTCAGTGTTTTAGTGCTAAAACAGTAAATGTTACAATTTTGGTGCTACTTTAATCTCTATGTCATTTAAATGTACTACCAAAGTAAAAGAAAAGTTCTTAAAACATATGAGAGAGACAGAATGTGTATTAAAGATGAATATAGCAGCCGTGACATGGTCATGTCACCCACGAGTCTGTAGATTAGAGTTTGAGGGACTTTTTGTTTGTATGGTTTTATTTGTTTGTTTGTTTTTAATTTAACATATGACACATGGTGGATTTCAAATATGAGGACACTGCATGCATGACTGAGACTGTCAGTCACAATTGCCTGTTTTATACTTAATTAATGGAACCATGATATACAAATGCATCACTGGCTTCACTTTTCACTATAGTGAGGTTCCAAACTGAAAAAGGGAGCTGAGTGTTTTTGGTCTTGCAGTCTTGGCATTTTGATACCAAACTACAAGCCAAGAGTAAATGCATAGACAGTAAAATACCCAGAATGGATGCAGCAGCCAACGACTGGCCAGAAACACCAGAGGAGCGAAACACCAGCTCTTGGTAGACAGAGCAGTCACCCAAGAGTAAGACCAGACTAACCATTCTGTTTACTGGATTGCCTGGATGACCACAAGAAAGCCTATGACTCAATGCCCCACACATGAATCCTGGAATGCCTAGAACTGTACAAGATCAGCAGGACCCTAGAGCCTTCATTAGGAACTCAATGGGGATGTGGCAAACAACAGTAGAGGCTAACTCCAATAGCAAAGTCACCATCAAATGCTGGATTCACCAAGGAAATGCTCTTTCTCCATGGAGAATGGAGCAGTGGTCATTTCCTCTACATGGATGACACCAAGCTGTATGCCTGGTGTGAACTGCCATAGTCCTGCCGAGTCACCTGAATGGTAATAACAAGATCCAGGATATCAACACCTTTGCCCTGCTGGGATAATAAGCAGGCCAAAGGAGGCGATAGAAGCCACCATGCATGGAGGGTTTCACCCCGAGGCTGTACGCTAAACAAAAGGAAGGCGGCCGGTGATTAGTGAGTGTGAGAACCACGCTCCATATGAGACAACAAACATCCACGAGTACATCAGGAAGATAGTCACAACTCACTGCGTGCTTAGCGAATACCTCAGGCAGCAGAAACCCAAGAAAGAAGAGGAGCAAGACAAGGAACCATCATGGAAGGACAGGCCCCTCCCAGAGACCGACGGACAAACCAACCGAACATAGTAGTGGTGGACAAGCAGAGGAAGATGGTTGTAGTGACCGATGTAGCGACATTTTACTGTTGGTAAGATGCTCCTTTTCTCTGAGTTGTTTCAAGTCAAGTCAAGTATTTATTTATTGTCATTGTCAAAGAACAATGAAATTGCGTTTGGGGCTTCCGTGCAACCCGTAAAAAAAAAACAAAAAAAAAACCCTTAAAACCCAAGTGTAAATATTTAACCCAGTGTGACTTCAGTGCAATGAGACAATCCTTAGCAACAACATGAGAACAAGACAGGTAATGTTCATAGGACATTCAGACAAAGACCTGAGAAACATGACAAAATGCAACAATGCAACCCGTTCAATATTATTGTACTGTGAGATATGATGGTTGTCTATTTAAGAAAGGGGGGGGGGAATCACTGCTAATCACTTCATCCCTTGTCTTCTGCAATGTCTCCACAGGTCAGAGTGGCTGCAGACGCTGGGGGGCAACAGAAGCACCAGACCATGTGTGTTCAAGGTGTAGGCAGTCAGCATGTGTTTTCTGGGATTACTGGGTAATAGAAGTGGGACACTCTCAAGTGGTCTGGCAGAGACTACTGTGTACCAGTAATAGGCCAGGCATTGGCTTTCCACCAGACCCTGGGCCACCAAAACGTGGTTTGACCTGAGGCATTGCTGGAAGCAAAGTGGGTAGAGGTCAGGTATATTTTTTACTTTACTTTACTTTACTTTTTGGAGTAATGACCCTGACACTGATCACAACAAAGAAGGGAAATACCTTAAACTTCTATTTGTAACGAGGTGTTTTCATGCTGTTTTATTGCTACTTTTGCTAGAAGCACTTGTTATTATCAGCTAATAGTAAATATTTAGATAACTATAGACGTTATAATACTTTTGACAGGTTTCTTCCTGGAGTGCAGGAAGATGCAGGAGGCTGTTGCAGCTCAAAAGGAATATTTGAAGTTGATCCAATGTGTGTTGTTAAACAGCGGAGGAAGTTGTTGTTAAGCAATGCAAAGTAGCAGGCGAAGTGGGGCATTCCTCTCGCTGCCGCTGCTGCTCTTTGGCTGTGCTGTGAAGAGGAGCTGCAGCAGAGCACCAGCACAGATTCTGCGCTCAAGTTGAGAAGTGCTCCGACACAGATGCTGAGGACTTAACTCGAGTTCATGGACCGGCATCGTTTGAAAAAGTCTGTTTTAAAATGACGCATCCCCGCTAAAGGTAAGCACTAAAAATGATTTTATCATTTTTTTCTACACGCACAGCTATTCGTTTAAGGGGGATATCGAAAAATCACTATTCAGCAGGAAGCAGTTTGTAATGATATTTCCTAATATCAATAATCTCTCTCTCTCTCTATCTCTCTCTCTCTCTCTCTCCATATATATATATATATGTGTGTGTGTGTGTGTGTGTGTGTGTGTGTCTGTATGTATGTATATATGTGCTACATGAGCACTTTTGAACCAAATTTTGAACCATATAAGCACAATAAGCTCTTGCTATTTCTTGCGATTTCATGATTTAATAACTGTTGTCTTTCTGGCGATAATATGAGGCTGGCTTCCCCCAAAAGTTAGTTTCATAACTCATTTTTGAGCGGTCCTGCTGTCCCGTCCCTGTACGGTTTGGCCCTGTTTACCGCAAGTCGGCTCTTTGTTAATCTCCCCACTTTTCTGTTCAGTTTACAAGCGCCACGGCTAAACTTCACATCGCCTAACAGAAACACAGTCGACTCTTTTACACGTGGATGTAGTTCACAAATTAAGCAGCTGATTGATCAATTACTGAACCATTGCAGTCAGCTCCTGTTGGTGTTAAAAGGGTGTGACTGTGCACTGAGACGGTCCTCAGCAGTCCGTGTTTCATTAATTGGGCAACAGAATGATTATTGCTGTTGTTGTACATCCACCGAATCCGCCTGAGGAGTGAAAGCACGCAAAGTTTAACGAGCTTGCAGCGCTAGATGGCGATCTTGAGCAAGACACATAAACCTGGAGGTGTTCCACGAGGCTTTGTGTGTGCGGAGGTTGCGTGTCTTTGAACGTTACATCCACTGGTTGAAAGAAATAGAATATTTGCATTCGGTGACGATGTAAAGTTCAAAGTCAGTAGAGAGAGAAATATATCAATTTAGAGCCTCACAAAGAACATGCACGTTCTTAAGAGAGACGCTTTTCAATTTCTGTTTTGTGTTCTCCTTTCAAGTTGTTAACATTTATTGCGCAGCTGTAGTGCTATGCAATATGTCACGGTTGGCATTTGTCACAAACATGCCCTTGCAATAATAGTAATGCAGCTTTTGACGACTCCCGGGCTCTTACTTTAATTAAATGAGTTTTACTTTTTAAGATGAGGCTGTGTGGGTGGCATCGACAGTTCAAGACCATAAGTCCTCAGAACCATGTGCAGGTCAGGGCTGCACCACTAGCACTGCTTTGGCAAGATGATAAGGTTGTAAGAAATCCAAAATGCATTTATCTGAGAAAAACAAAGTAAACGAGAGCGATGTCAGGTGGCTGCAGTCTCACTTAGGAATAGACCTCAGTGTCAGGAGCTTGTCAGGCTTGTGAGTTGCATCAGTGTTTGACAGAAAGGAGAGAGCAGTGTGATGTGCAGATATAGTCCTAGATAATGTTCTGAAATTTGCGATTTAAGTGATCAATTCACGCAACGCTGAATTTAAAAAGAAATAACAAAAAGTTAAGAGAAAAAAAATGAATATAAGAAAAAATATATGAGCAAAGAGAGAACAGGTTCTTATTATATCAAACACCTGTCAATTCACATTGCCAAGAGAAAAACTGCACATTAAATAAACAATGATAAAAAAAAATCTCATGATTTCTGTTAGATTCAAATAAAACACACAAATGAAAAAAAGCCCAGAGGTCTTGTTTTTCTTTTCATGGATTACATTTTTCCAGTGCAAAGCTTGACAAAATTCATTTATCAAGTTCCCCCTCCCTCAAACAAAAAGAAAATAATTCCTGTTTGTTGCTCATCAAGCAGAAATCTATTCACTTCACTCGAATTCAGTTTCAGTGCCAAATCAGAAGGCGCTTTACATTGTATGATGATATATTTTAACTTGGCAGATGTAACACATTTTTCCACATTAACTAAAACTTGCAGCTATGTAGTAACAGTACATACGGATTTCCTCTGATTTCAGTTTCCAAATTCTGAATATTGACTTGTAAATAATAGAATGTGAAAAAAGGGGGTGGGAATAGAAAAAGTGTAAACTTCATCCCAATCCTCTTCGAGCACGAACCTTGTGTAGATATAGATATTTTCATATTATCTATCTATCTATCTATCTATCTATCTATCTATCTATCTATCTATCTATCTATCTATCTATCTATCTATCTATCTATCGCAGTCATCATATAATATGAACTCTGATGTGCTTTTACAAAACATCTAATTTTTTCTGTTTAGATCAAAGATTATTCTAAATTTCAAATAATGTGATGCACTTTAGTTTGAAGGCTGTTGTGGGTTCATTATTTTATAGCTTTTCTCAAATCATAGCAAAACCATGTTCAACAACTGGATCACTATTCTGCTTTTCTGTCTGAGTATAAATACTTTGGAAGAGATGGTTCAAAGCCAAGCCTGTTTTAAGTAGAGCCAAAGCATTACAGTGGTATTTACTGTACTATCAACAAGTATTTCCCCCTTCCTTATCTCTTTTGGCATTTTTTTTATATTTGTCATACCTAAATGTTTCACAACATCAAAGAAATGTTATTACTAAACAAAGATAACCCAAGTAAAAAATAAAGTGCAGATTCTGAATTGTGTTTTAATTTATTAAGGGAAAAAAAAGCTATCCAAACCTACCTGATCTTATGTGTAAATGTATTGGAAGTAAGTTTTGGAACGCTGAGCTCACTTTCACCAGTAACACCCACACCCGATTATTGCCACACCAGCTGAATCAAGAAATCACTTGAAACCTGTCTGACAAAGTGAAGTCAGCTAAAAGGTTGCTAAAAGCATCTCGTGCTACAATCTGAAGAATCGACTAAGAAAGAAAGTCACTGACTATGATGAGAGCCATCATCCAGAAATTTAGAAATCTTGGAGCAGTGGGAACCTTGCCAGGAGTTGCTGGTCTACCATGACTACTCTGTGATAGACAACTCATCCAGGAGATTACAAAAGAACACAACAACAGAAAGATGACTGCTTCGGCTGTATTAATAGGAGTCACTGATTGAGAATCTGTTCTTCAGCTCATACCAAACAACACTTTGACTACTCCATAGGCCGCATCTTAATAGTCCCTCAGCACTGCTGCACTTGTGATTTAGTCCATAAATGGTAAACATAATTCCAGTGTTTAAAGAATAACAGGCTGTTGAGGGTACCGAAGTGTGTCGCCAGTAGAAAATAGTTCCTGTAGGCCAGATACCCTCCCATGCATACAAACCAAATAGTCCGCTGTGCCTTGCAATCACAATCACAGCCATTAAATACCTGAGTTGGTACAGAGTATACAGCAGGAAAATCAGAGGAAGCAGAGTGCTGTTCCTCTGGACAAGTGGAAGATTTTTTTTTTCTTGCCCCTAAAATTCAATGATGTGTGTGCATCGTGTTGAAAGTACTGTTTGTCAGTCTACTAGCACATTAAACCAGACTTTCCATTTCCATTCCTATTTTGGCACAAAATGCTTTTTATATTCATGCTCATTTTGAGAAAGGGAGAAAATACATTTACATCATCTAGCACGTCAAGCAATGTTTGAAAAAGATAAACGGTTTGGGCAGGAAGAAAGTTCGAGTTTATGCACAAATGTCAAATTCAAAAGCTAGGCAGTGTTGTCCGTTTCTTTCATGCCAGCAAAAAGCCAGTTTCCTGTTACTTTATTTTGTATACTAACATTATTAGTATGACCAGATAAATCAGCGAGATTATTGGTGGGATGCTGCCATGTCCCTGAATTACTGTTGTGTATTTACTAGGTAATAAATTTGGCAGCAGGAGGCTGTTAAATGCTGACTTTCACCTAAGAGCTGCTGGTGGTTGGCATCTGATGTGATCTCTCCATCTTACTGTGGACAGACCATGATACTGTGCTGCAGCAGCTGATTTTCCAGTTTGCTGACCCCTTTCTCTAGGGAATCCTACATATTCTGTCAGATCAATACATGTAATCAGTGCTGATAAATGGGAGAACGCTAGCTGTTGTTCCTCAAGGACATGTCATATTGGACTTCCAGCTCTTGTGGCCTGAGCTTCTTATGCTGGTTATTAGAAAAAAGATGCAGGAAAATGTAATAGCAAGTAGTGTTATATATGGTATTAGAATAACTGGTTGATTGCTAAAAGGTTTGTGTGTGGGTGTAGGGGGACGCTATGAATTATGGAGAGAATTTGTCTAAGAGTTTGAGCTCTGTTCTCTCAGGATGAGGCAACGGCAAAACATCAGCCATGCAATTCAAATAGCTCATAAGGTGGAGGTAAAAAGGAGAGACCATTAAGGCCAGCAGCCCATCGGCTCGCAGCGTCCTATTCATCGTGCAACAAAGGCCGAGCAAGCAGGAAGAAAAGCAACATGAAACATTTTTAAGTGGTTCTGCCTAGTGGGCACTTTAGAGTGGACAGGAGGGAGGGCGATGAGGCTGGCCATTACAAAGCATCATGAATTCTGTCCTTAGGGCAAATGCACGAGTAACACATTATAGACAAAACAGATGGAGGGCTCCCCCGTGAAGGGAGAGAAAGAGAGCAGCGTCGTACGAGTGCAGGACAGGATAGGTCGCTAAGGTTTCAGGGGTTGCTGTGACCTGGCAAATTGACACATGCTTTGAAAAATGGAACCAGTGTGTAGTTTGTGTTAGCTGAGGGCATGCAAAGGCTTTCTTGGAGAGGAGGCTCTTTTCACCAGCTTGTGATGGAAGCCACGATAGATACAGCGCATCCCAAAAGTTTCCACAGTGCTTCACTTGTTCCAAATTTTAGTCGTGTTGCAGCCTCATTTCAAAATGGATTCAATTAATTTTTTTACCTCAAAATTCTACCGTGCAATGACAACGTGAGAAAGGTTTGCTTGAAATTTGTTCTAAAAAATAAAAATAATAGAAAGATGTGCAGCCTCTGTCACGACACTCAGGTGCATCCTGTTTCTGCTGATCTTTTGTGAGAGATTTTTACAACTTGATTGCACACGTCCTACTGCTGAAAATCATCTCCATACTGTGACACT